CATTCCTCTGCATTAAGGAACTCTAATCATAGTGAAATTCAGTCTTCAACTATTTTCTTTTTTTTTTTAAATTTTTAAAAAATATTTTATTTATTTATTTATCTTTAGAGGGGAAGGAGAGAGGGAGAGAAACATCAATGTACGGTTGTCTTTTGGGCATCCCCTGCTCGGAACTGGCCTGCAGGGACCTGGCCTGCAACCCAGGCATGTGCCCTGACTGGGAGTCGAACCGCAATCCTCTGGTTCGCAGGTCTGTGCTCAATCCACTGAGCTACACCAGCCAGGGCTCAACTATTTTCTAATAAAACAGAACTTGGGAAATAGGCAAAGTAGCGATGACATGGTCAGCCTGGCTGTGCTGAACTGCAGATGCACAGGGGTCCACTGTGTTCCACCCACCCGCCCATCGAAAGGGCCTGAAGTACAACCTAACAGATGCCCATGGGCTCCCGGGGAACAAAGAAAAGGCTGTCCCCCCCCCCCCCCCCCCCCCGTGTATCCAGGTCTGCACACCAAGCAGAGCATGAATTCAAGGCCAGAGGGGGTACGCTGCCAATTCACTTTCGCAGAGGCTCTGAATCACCCCACCACGTTTAGGGCGGTAGACCACCTCTCTGCAGTGCCAGGACTGACTCGAACACCCAAGGAATGGCTGGCCAGCCACCATCCGAGTTCTAGGACTTTTACAGCAGCGTCAAATGTTAACGGAAACCGAATGGAGGGAAAGGAGTGGGAAGAGAAAGGGCGAGCTGCTTCCCGAGTAACTTGGATGAGCAGCTCTGCGCTGCCGCCGGCCCACACCAAAGTAACACTTCCCCAAACACCCCCAGCTCACTGAAGGGGCGCCAGGGCCTAAGGAACAGCTGCTGAGTGCAGAAGTCACTGTCAAAGGCACCACGGCATCCCCCACAGCCCCATCTTCCCAAAAGAGGAAACGGGCCGACAAGAGGTCCTGAGAAAGGCAATCATTTTGGTGCTAAAAATGGTGGAAATATAAGACACTCCAGCTTCCACGAGGGAACTGAGGCTCTGGGTTTGTAAAATGACACCGGCACAAGATAACTCCGGGAAACTGAGAGGGAGAAAGATGTGCCACAAAGTAAAGACTGCCAAAGATTTATGTTCTTAGTAACATACTGAGATTTTGTTTTGAGGCCACTTGAAATTCAACTTAGGAACAAAATCTGAGAGCTTGTTTTTAAGTTATGTTTTATCCCTCTTGAAGACACTTTGCAAGAAACTGGCTTCAAAAGCCTAAGAAGGGTAACAAAAACTATGACTGGTTCTCATTAGAATTTTAAATTAGCCCTGGCTGGTGTGGCTCGGTGGATTGAGTGCCAGCCTGCGAACCAAAGGGTTGCTGGTTCGATTCCCAGTCAGGGCATATGCCTGGGTTGCAGGCCAGGTCCCTGGTGAGGGGCATGTGAGAGTCAACCATACACTGATGTTTCTCTCCCCCTCTTTCTCCTTCCATTCTCTCTAAAAAGAAATAAATAAAATCTTTAAAAAAATTTTAAGCAGTCTCAAGAACATTTACAGTTTTGTTTTGTTTTTTTATTAAAAAAAAATATTAAGCCCTGACTGGAGTAGCTCAGTGGATTGAGCGTGGACCTGTGAACCAAAGAATTGAGGTTCGATTCCCAGTCAGGGCACATGCCTGGGTTGCAGGCCAATTCCCAGCAAGGGACACACAAGAGGCAACCATACACTGATATTTCTCTCCCTCTCTCCTTCCCTTCCCCTCTCAAGATAAATAAATGAAATCTTTTAAAAAACCCCAATATTAATTAACAGACAAAATTACAGGAAAGGAGATCAGGAAAACAACTTTTATGTTCTCTCAACAGCAAGGTCTTCTTTTTTTTGGACTGAAAAGTTCTTTTGTTACTCAAGTTGAGAAATTTCAAAGTACTTTACTAATATTCACTCAACTTCAAAACACTCCCATGAGAGAGTTGTGTTTTGATAGGAGAAATGGATGTAAAAGAGACCGGCCAATGCCCAAGGTGCCCAGAAAGAGAAAGAGTACTGTTTTCTACCACTTCTAGCATGGCCTCACCCCAATTTGAGCATGGAAGAACTCTGATGTACCTCACAACTTAGGCTATGCCACAGCTAACTTTCTCAAGGTCTATAAAACACAGGCGTGAGCTTCCACCAATGGAAGCCTGGGCTTGATGGCGTTCAGACATTGCCGAGATCCCCTTCCATTCCCTTCTCTTAACTAAGTCCATCTCCCGGTCCTATTCTACAGACATTGGAAGAATGTCAAACAGGTATTGAAAGATCTCCTCTGCAGTGCCCAAAAGCAAAGTCCACCTCATTAAACAACTGGCTGGTGTCCACTCGACACTGACCCACATAAAGAACTTTGTTCTATTTCCTTGTGACTCACATGATCCTTGTATCCCCATAGATGATGAAATCTTCTAACCAGCTCTGAATACACTGCATCAACCATTTTATTATTTTTTAACAAAGTTTTTAAAAAATATTTTATTTATTTATCTTTAGAGAAGAAGGGAAGGAGAGAAGGAGAGAAATATCAATGTATGGTTGCCTCTCATGAGTCCTGTGCTAGGAACTGGCCTGCAACCTGGGCATGTGCCCTGACTGGGAATCGAACCACGATCATGTGGTTCGCAGGCCCATGCTCAATCCACTGAGCTACACCAGCCAGGGCTACATCAACCATTTTAAAAGCAAAACAAAAGCCCTGGCTGGTGTAGCACAGTGGACTGAGTGCGGGCCTGTGAACCACATGATCACGGTTTGATTCCCAGTCAGGGCACATGCCTGGGTTGCAGGCCAGTTCCCAAGCAGGGGACACATAAGAGGCAACCAACCATACATTGATTATTTCTCTCCCTCTCTCCTTCCTTTTATCTCTAAAAATAAATAAATAAAATGTTAAAAAAAAAGCAAAACAAAATAAATCTTTTTGTGTTATTTTTAGGAATGAAATCTTACTAATATTTTAAGTTGGGTTTACAAACCCAACTTGGATTATTCAGAAACATAACCTTCTAGGACTTGCTCAACCTCAGCAATTTCAACAGGTGCCCAAAAAGAATTTTTAAAACATGCAATACCTGACTATTTTAGCCAGGGGCACTGACCTCTTTTCCCTTAAGATTGTCAAATTTAAAAAAAAAAGAAAGAAAATAGCCATCACAGTAACAGTCATGTGGTATGAATGATTCAAAATTATACCTTTTTTTGGTTAGATCGATAACATATAAGTTTTTTTTGCATGCTGCTGAATTTCAGTAATTACTTTATGTGTTCCATGAGAGGAAAAACATTAAAAATCGCTGCTCTACCTCCATATTCCCACAGCCATGAGTTCCAAACTTTAAAAATAAAAAAAAAAAGAGCATCTGGCCCTGGCTGGTATAGCTCAGCGGGCCTGTGAACCAAAGGGTAAATAGCTTGATTCCCAGTCAGGGCACCTGCTTGGGTTGCAGGCTGGGTCCCCAGTAGAGGGGACACAAGAGGCAACCACACACTGATGTTTCTCTCTCTTTCTCCTTCCCTCCCCCTCTCTCTAAAAATAAAGAAACAAAATCTTTAAAAAAAAAGGACATTGGGAAGTTATTAAGTACTCTGATTTGGGCTACCAAAAATAAATTAACTGTTTTTTTTATGACTAAAATGGAAGGGAATACAGAGGGTAGTGCTAAGGGCCTAAGCAAATTATTTCATCTTGACAACGATAACCAGGTAAAGCTGAAATACTCAGAAACCAAACCAAAGGTATTAGAGGCAGTAGTAGTACAGGAGGGGTCACCATCACTACACAGAGGCAGAGCTTCTAACATTTTTTTTCTTGGCTCATGAATATATACCATTCATATCACTTAATCTTTATTAATGAAAATATTGGAGTTCTAAGCCTTGGCTGGCGTAGCTCAGTGGATTGAGCGTGGGCTGTGAACAGAAGTGTCACTGGTTCGATTCCCAGTCAGGGCACATGTCTGGGTTGCAGGCCAGGTCCCCACTTGGGGGCATACAAGGGGCAACCACATATTGATGTTTCTCTCCTTCCCTTCCTCTCTCTCTCAATATAAAAAAAAGTAACAATAATAAGTCTTTTTAAAAAAAGTTGAAGTTACATTAAAAAAAGAAAGAAAATATTGGATTCTAAAAAAATGTTCATTTAGATAAAGGCCAAAACAAAGGGCATTTTCTTCCAATTAAGAAACAAGACTGCTGTGGTGACTGTGGGAGAGGGTTGGGGGAGAGCAAAGGGAGGATAAATGGGGATGAAAAAAATAAAATGAAAAGAAATAAAATACAAAAGCAGGACTGTACACTTGAAACCTGTATCATCTCATTAACCAATGTCACCCCAATAAAGTTAATAAAAAATAAAGTAAAAAAAAAGACAAAACAACAACAAAAATAACAGATGGTCTGAAAAAAGGAAGTACTCCTCAGCGCCGGGACCACGGGATGTTTTCACGAGTCCCACCCGCACTGCAGAGCCACGAAAACTCTGCCGCCAGATTCGACAATGCCACGTTCTTAGAATACTTTCTGTTCATTCTGAGATTCGACTAGTGTTCCTCTTCACCCATCCCCTATTCTCCCTTATTTAAAACTCAGGGTCTACACTATCATACCAAAATGTTACTGATACGAAACTCTTCAATGTTTGATCTTGAAAACTCCTGAATTCAGCTTCTAGATTTAGTACGCCTCCTTCCTACAAAGAGCATTCTGAATTTAAATCACGCAGAATTGACATGCCTGGCCGAAAAAATCTGTAGGATCCTTCAGAATGAAAGCTGCAAGGTCTCCAACACATTAGCAGCATGCTACAATGTCACCCTTCTAAAGGGCTTACCTACAACAGTGAACATTATTTTCCGTACACAGAACTTTCAGGGGTCAGTTGGAGACTTCGAGTGCCAAGCACGATGACACCACACCCCGTGGATTTAAACTTTGAGCTTGTACTACAGATAAAAATGTCGCCTACGCTTGGGCATACATACTTTTTAAACCACATGATTTCATCGGGGTCTGAGATGCCAAACTCCCTGATCTTCTTCACCAAGGTGGCACTCTTCCTGACAGCCACTTCGTATCGCTGGCTGCGCGTGAGGAAGTTCAAGTCCTCGTGCTGGAAGTCTGGGTCGTTCAGAATCAGGTTCTCTGGAGGGGATTAAAGGGCATCAAGACGAAGACAGAAATTCTGGTCTCCGTTAAGCCTCCCTGAATCACGGCACAGATCCCCGTTCCAAACGGGCACCCCCCCCCAGAAGTGGGAGTTGCGGCGCCCCGCAAGCTGGGCCACAGCCTACGGCCTACGCCCTACCGCACCCGCAGGCTCCGTATCCAGGGAGCCTTGCTCCTCGAAGGAGGGAGGCCCGGCCCGCCGCCCTCACCGATCTCTCGGCGGCGCCTGGTGTTCTGCGGCCCGTGGTCCAGGATGTGCGTGAGCAGCTCCGGGTTGAAACTGGCGGCGGCCCGCTCTCGGCGCAGGTCCGGATTCATCGTGACAGCCCTCAGGGGCGGCGGAGGACCAGGCGAAGGCGACGAAGCCTGTCCGCAGCTCGAGTGTGTCGACCAGACTCGAAGACCAGCCCCGCACCGCGCGGGGCCCCGCCCCCGGCCCGCCCCTTCTCCTTTGCCGCGGCTAGTGCGCGAGTGAAAGACCTTAAAAGTGGCGGCAGCCTCGCGAGGTCGCTGTGTCCCGGCCGACCGCTGAGAACGGGAGTCCCCAGCCCTCGGCCAGAGGAGCCCCAGGGCGAAACCCCCGGGCCCCACAGCGCGGAGCTGTCTCTGGAAACAGCTCAAGAACTTGGCCCGAGGTGTGGGGAGACCTCCTCCTCGGATAGGAGCTCCCGGTAAGTCTCCCTCTCCCTCGTCACGTGGTCACACGGGGCCGAAAAAGGAAGCCCCGGCCCGGCTGCCCGGACGCCCAGACCGGTTGGCTGGGATTGGGAAGGGGCGGGACAACGATTAGGAAAAATGCGCCTGCGCCTTGGACTCGCCGGTCCGCCGCCCTATTGGGGTTCAAAGGTTGGGGGCATCAGGGGAGACTCAAGGTCCTGGGGTTCGAAGACCTGTGCGCTTTGCTAGGGGAAGACCTAGGATTTCGTAAAACACTCCCACATTAGATTAAGAAAGGACGACGACGAAAGCAGCACTGGGGAGAGGCTTCCGTTATATTTTGTTAAGCTAATGGCGTCTCTCAGAAGCGTGGGCGGCTTGGAGCTGGGTGCTCCCCCCCGATTGATGGGGTGGGCGAGGATTTACAATGAGACCGACGTAGCCCTGTGTTTATACCTTCATTTTCCCAATTATCTTCGTCGTCATCAAAGTTGTAAATTTTACAAACCTGGTTGGTATAGGAGGATTTGTAATAAAGAAACAAAAGGTCCCCATCTTCAGAAACAGCCACTGTGAATTAGTTGTGCTCTTAGTTTTGATTCCTAAAATTTTTTAATTGAAATACTTAAATGCTTTTATTTGTTCCTTTTCGTTAGTTTTTGACTTCATCCCGTTATAATAAAACACACTATACCATCCCCCTTACTTACATCTCCCTGATTTACTTTTGTAACTTTAATCATACTTAATCCCTTAAAAAAATAACCGTCGTCATAGTAAGGAATGGCCAAACCTGTAGGGAATTTTTATATGAGTTCATTTGAGTCAAAGTGACGCCGTATTTGGGGAAGCAAGACCTCAGCTGCTCCAGACAGTAACCGTTTTGCAGCACTTGAAATTGGGGAGAAAACAAAGATGATTACGTGGAGGTGGGAAAAGTCAAGGAGGCATCCGATTACAGAACCGTTAACAGGACTGTGTGCCCTCTGGAGGCTGACTGTGCTCGTTAGGAAGGTTTGTTGACCCAGATGCTGGAGAACAGAACAGGGCTGGCTTAGACCCTTTCACGGACGAAGTTAAAGGTGAGGGTACTGTCCGGAGAAACTCCCCCCCGCCCCCCCGCCAGAACTATACATTTAATTCTGTGTCCCTTCCAGTCCTGGGAGTAGAGTAAGAGGTGTGAGGCATGCACCTCCAACACAAAAATTTAAGGAAGTGCCAAAAAAATTAACCAAGGTTAATAGTGTTTTAATGCGACTTAAAAAAAAAAAAATCAAACTTCATGCAGGAAAAATCCACAATGAATAAAATACCAAACATTTAAGGCTAGAGAAGACCATTATTACTTTTTTTCCCCCCAAATTACTAGAATGTGACAGAGGCAGTAGGCCCCTGGAGTTTGGGAGCAAGAAAGGCAGAGGTAACTAATTCCCTTGAGGGGAAGAAGTGGAGGCAAAGACAAGACACTGGTAATGCCTCTTGCTCAAACTCCAGTATGCGGAGGGGGAGGCCCTATTTCTGACACTGTGTTGTTTGGCTACCCTATTAACATTGTATCCCCCTGGTCAACAGCCGGCTCAGGCTCAGACCAGTGTGGCTTAGCTGGTTGGCGATGGTCCTGCAAAGTGAAAAAAAGCCTCTGGTTGATTCCTGGTCAGGGCAGGTGCCTGGATTACAGGTTCAGTCCCCTGGTCAGGGTGTTTTTGGGAGGCACCCCATCAGTGTTTCTGTCCCTCTCTACCTATCCCCTCCTCTCCTCTCTCTAAAAAATAAATAAACAAAAGTCTAATATTTTATTAGGCTTTTATTTAATAATAAATTCTAATATTTTAGAATTTATTCTAAAATTATTCTAAATATCTTAAATATTCTAAATAAAATTATTCTGAATATTTAAATATTCTGAATATTTATTCTAAAATTCTAATATTAGAATTTTATTTACTTATTTTTAGAGAAAAGGTAATGGAGAAAGGGAGAGAAACATCAGTGTGTGATTGCCTCTGGCATGCGCCCCCTACTGGGGATCTGGCCCACAACCCAGGCACATGACTGGAAATTGAACCAGGGACCCTTTGGTTCGCAGGCTGGTGCTCAACCCACCGAGCTACACCAGCCAGGGCAAAATTAACTAATTTTTAAAAACATTTTGTTGTTATTCTATTACAGTTTCCCCCATTTTCCCCCTTTTGCCATCCTCCACCCCAAAAAATAATTTTTAGAAACTGGCTCAGAACATCACCGGCACAACCTGTGGACAGACAGAGCCGGGCTCCCGTCTCCTTGGATAAGGAGGACACTGCTTGGCAGAGCTCTGGCAGTGTCTTGGAGGGGGGCAGGTCTGAGTTTTCCGAGAATTGGAAATTTGGGTTCAGGCGGGTCTTTCAGTTCAGATGTCTTGATTAGGACTGGTTAAGAACAACTGTACAACAGTCCAGAATTGGTGGAAATAATAAAGGGAAAGAATTCAAAGAATCTCTGTGGGCCAACGGGCTGTTGATGTTTGAACCATTTGCCTGGGCTGGATGGTCTAGGAAGAGTAAAAAAAAAAAAAAAAAAAAAAATGCCAGTGAAGGCAGCAGACCGTAGGCAGGGAGGTGTGCTTTGTCCAAGTTGACTGTGGGAGTAAACAGTTGTGTTTTCACTCTCTTCTGCATGAATACATTCACTCACTCAATAAATACTTAATATAACGTCCCAGATGCTATATATGACCCAGGATACCCTGAGGAGTCATGTGAATCCTGATCTTGTGGAGCTGAGAGTCTAGTGGGAGGCATGGACATTGAACCAGGAGGCAAATCACTATTTGAAATTCTATTATTTAATAAGCTGCGATGAAGAAAATAAGCCAAGGTGAGGTGACAGTGATTGGTGGGGAGAGTGCAGGATGCTATTTTAGGTGGGGTGGGCAGGGAAGACCTCACTGGGGAAGAGGGGAAACCGGGGAAGCCGGTGTTCGTGCTGCCTGCCACCACGAACAAGGACTGAGTCAGCATGGGCGCTCTATTCAGAGGCCAGCGAGTGAGAACACGGAGGGTTTGCACCCTACAAACTGTCTTAACATCGCATTTCAGGCCACCCTTTTTATAAGGAGAAGGAGAGGTTCATCAGGTAAGAACTGTAGTCCTGTGGGTGATTTTCCTGGTATCTATCAGTATTACAGACACTTCCTTCCTGGAGCCCAGGGCTCAGCTGTCGACCTCCTAGGGTCAAGTATTCCAGTCGACAGCAGCCTCCCACCTGCATTGTCACTTAAGCTTGTCAATTATAATGAAAGCTAAAAGCTTCACCTCTCAGTGCATCATATCCAGGAGGTACATAAAGCTTGTGTGTGCTAAGTTTCTTCAAGGAGAAGTGGACCATTTTTCTCTGTAATTAATAAGTGTTGTGCGGGGAGTTGCAGAAATATCTTGTGCGTCACCAACTTGTATAAGCATCCATGAGTGGTTCTTCTCTGATACATTTTCCTCCGGTGATGGGAAAACTTTTTTTTTCCTTTTTATTGAATCTAATGGAGTGACACCTGTTAACAAAACGACACAGATGTCCGCTGTACGACCCTGCAAGATGTCATCTGCACACTGTGTTGTGTGTTCACCGCCCCACGTCGAGTCTCCGTCCACCACATGGCCCCCCACACTCTCCTCCACCACCTTCTCCCCGCCCCCATAAACTTTTAAAGACAGGAAAGTAATCCTTTTATTTGCTTACTGTAAAATTTAGTTGAGATCACATGGAAACTTTCTAAACCCCACATGAGGCCAGAGTTCAAATCATGGGATGTAACTCAAGATTTCATGTTGAAGATTGTGCAATATAGGCCTCCCGAGAATTGGAACTTTTTTTTAAAGATTTTATTTACTTATCTTTAGAGGGGAAGGGAAGGAGAGAGGGAGAGAAACATCAATGTGTGGTTGCCTTTCATGTGTCCCCTGCTGGGAACCGGCCTGCAACCCCGGCATGTGCCCTGACTGGGAATCAAACCACGATTGTCTGGTTCACAGGCCCGTGCTCAATCCACTGAGCTACACCAGCCAGGGCCTGAGAATTGGAACTTTTAAAAGATTTGTGAGTTGCTTCTCGGTTGGTGAAATGTGCAGGGGTGTGTGGGAGCGCAGTGCCCTCAGCGAGTATGTGCCCTTCCCACATACGCGCCCTGTGCATCCCTCCCATCTGGCTCTCCCCGAGTTCTGTCCTTTCACAATAAACCGGTGATCTAATCTAATTGTGGAGTGGTAAACATACAATCGTGATTCTTGTCTTCAGGAAAGAAACTCACCTTTCCAGTGGTGTCACCTCCCCGCAACAATATGCATCTCACTAAGGATCGCCTTCATCCGTCTCCAAAAATATTAAAACAATATTTTTCATTTTAAACCCCCACCCGTTGGAACTAGCCTTCCAGCTGTTACGGGTCTCCAGTGTCTGCTAATCTCCACCTTGTGGTCTGCTTGCTTTGTCAGGAATCTTCAAAAATCCACCCTGGCTCTTCAGTGACAGGAGCCGATGGCGCTGCCCGAGCCCGGGGTCTACCACTTCCCCTGGGAGGTCCGAGCCGGCCAGGTACCCGACGGGGGCACCCTGAGGACGTTCGGCAGGTGCGGACGGTTCTTTCTTCACCAGATGGGGGGGACTGTTAACTGACCCCCCCCCAAAACGATTAAAAATAGTTGATCATTTTGTCTAATTATTTTTTAAATGCTAAAGACTTCATATGCCATCACTGTAACAAATGTAGACAATCCATAAAGCAAGCAGAAATCACCTGTGATCCCACTGCTCAACCACCACGGCTAACCTTTAGTGATCACAGACTTTTTCACGTGTGTAGGTATGTACACATGTGGAAGTGGGGGTATGTGTACATACACATGCATGTGTATGCGATATGAGTCATGTGTTGCTGTGTAACAAATTATCCCCAAATTTAGGGACTTAAAATGATTAAGGGCAGCTTGGCATTTCGTGGTTACAGGTCAGGAACTTGGGAGTGCTCTAGTGGGGGTGGTCCGGGTGCAGACTCACTTGCGAGACGGCAGCTACGATGGCGCCCCGGGCGGCAACACGGAAGGCCGGCCTGGACCTGTGGGTCTGCTCCCGGGGCAACTGGTCCTGTTTGGCGAGTTTCTCAGGAAGTCTCAGGCCCTCCCAGTGCAGGTTTCTCCTCGGGGCGGATCCTCAGGACACGCCCGCTCCCCCTCTAAGGAGTGATCCGACAGAGACAGGGAAAGCCACAGCACCTTCCTTCTGTGACCTAACCTTGGAGTGGCTCTGAGTCATTTCTGTGAGACCCTGTTGGCTACACCAGTCACTGCCGATAGGGTGTTCGGGGACTGCCCAGGGATGTAAGTGCCCAGAGGAAGGAATCACTGGGGACTCCCTTGGAGACGTGTGCACATACATGTAGAAACTTCCAACCTAGACGTGATCCTGCTGCGTTTCCAGATGGGGCCGTTTACTTACTTAGACGCGGCAGACCTAGGTCCATGCCTCATGGTCGGACCTGAATCACCACTTTAAATAGATCCATTTCGTGTCCCGGCACAGATCTATCAAGCTTATTTACCCGTAACTGTAATCTGTTTACTTAACCAAACGGTGTTGATTTTCAACAAGGATATTAACGTGCCCGAGCGGGGCAAGGACAGTCATCTCAGCCCCTGGTGCTGAACGACAGAAGGTGTTCCATTTCCTCCCCCCATGCAGTGGAGCACTGCTGTGCAATGGCAGAGACCAAAGTACTGGTTTACCCAACAGCGTCAGGAGTGAGAGCAGCCAGCCCCAAGAGAACGCATGTTATCATTTCATTTGTATCAGGTGATTGAGCAAGAAAACTCACAGAGTTTTCCAAAAGCGTGGGTGGGAGATGGGGAGACTGACTTCAAAGGGACACAAGGGAACCTTAGCGGGCAACAGAAATGTACTAAATCTTACTGGGGGGGTGGTCACACCAAGCGTGCATTTTTGTCAAGACTCACTGAACAGGTGTCTCTTAATGCGTGGGACTTAGACCGCAACACCCCAGACGGAAACAGTTTTTCGGATTTGTTGCCACCGCTTTTACTTTGACCCAAGTATGGCCGACCACCTTTCCTTGGATTTCCTGGCCTCCCCAAACCTGGGGAGCGTTGTGGGGGTTGTGTCTGCAGATAGAAATGATTGCATTTTCCCCACCTGCCAGGTTGTGCCTCTACGACGTGACCCAGTCTCGAGTGACCCTGACGGCTCAGCGTGGGTCTGAGCAGCACGAGATCCTTGTCTGCACCGAGCTGGTGGAGCCATTCCAAGCCCAGGTGGGCTCCCTGTACATGGTCCTTGGGGAGCTCGAGCACCAGAAGGGTAAGCTGGGGCCTCGCACCCACTTTTTCACTCTGGCTCCTAAGTGGAGACTTGGTTAGGGCTGGGCCTGATTTCTGACCCAATGGGAGTTCTTCCCCAGGGTTAACATTTCTTCCAAGTCAGCCCACAAGTTCAAGGACTCACAGGAAACAGATGGTGGGGCTCGGAGCCAATCTGCCACAGGGAATTGAGAAAGTGGAGAGAAACCATTAATTTCTGAAGGCCTCCAGTGTCCAGGCCGGGTACGGGGTTTTTGAAACTGCCCACCAGCTCTTACTCTGACTCTCACTCTTGCCAGTTAGTTGGTAGGTGAGAAAACCAAGGCCCAGAGAGGCTGGGGCGGAAGTGGCCGTCCCGGAAGTGGGGGTGAGAGAGCTGGAACATGTGCAAGCAGTGAAAGCAACCGGGAAGGGTCTCTGGCATTGAGAGCTGAAGGCTGCTCGCTAACACCCAGGTCCTCGGGGCTCTCCCTCCCGGAAGCACGCCCGCCCCCTTCCTCTCTCTCAGGCCCGCATCTCCTAAACTATAAGGGTCCCCAAGAGACTTGCAGCCAGGGGAGCAGTGGGCAGCAGTGACTTGTCCTGGGCTGATCCCCTGAACCGTCTCCAACGCGCCTTTTCTCTGACTTTCTGGTGAACCCAAGCTGCCCCGTTTCTTTCCGGTAACCTTGTTAGACAGAGCAGCCTGGCCGAGGCTCCTGTCGCCCTTGCTCATTTCACTGTCCCCAGCCTAATAAATGTACTCTCCGAATCAGAGAGGGAGGGAAGGAGGGAGGGAGGGAGGGAGGGAGGGAGGGAGGGAACCCCAAGCACTCACATTCTTTGCCTCTTGTCTGGCGGTCCCTGTGCCATTTTCCCTCCATGTGGTTCATGTTACACGGTGTTGGATGGGGCTGTTTGGGCTCAACGCTGTATCATAAGCATCTTCTCATGTCTTCAGAACTTTTCTAGATAGAGTGTTTCATGGCCATATGATATTTTATAGACTAGATGTGTGTTCTAATTCATACAGCCATTGGAAACTTATATTGTTTCCATTTTCTGCTTTTATAGATGCACTATACGTTGATTATTGGTTAAAGGAGTTACAGTAAATTCAGTCAGCGGGATATTATGCAGCCATCGAAAAGGACATTTTAAATTTCTATTAGTTGAAGTGAAAAGAGTTTCACAATAAGTTATTAAGAAAAAGCTTAGAAAACAACAATATGTATCATGTGATTCCATTTTTGCTTAATATATTTTTACATAAATACAAGTTTTTTTACATTTCACACATAAAATTTTAAAACATTATTTCCCCAAATATTAATAGTTGTTTCTGGGTGGTAGGATTGTGGGATTCTTTATACGTTTTACAGTGAAAATGTATTGCTTTTATAGCCAGAAGGGGGAAAATTTTATTTAAATCTATATATCTAGATATATAGATTTAAAATATTTCAGTTCATATCCTCATACACTAAACTTTGCTATCTTCTGATTATTCCTTTAGGGCAGTTTCCTAAAAGTAGAACTGCTATTTAAAACACGTGACCGTTTATGGTTCTCGATTTGTATCACCAACTTCCTTTCCAGAAGTCGCAGTGATTTTTTACCTCTGGGTGAAATGCACTGGGAAAAAAGTAGTTAGGTGGTGCTCCCTTTCATCATATTTGACTTAATACAAGTTCACCTCCATTCAGGCTTACGCCTTGGCATTCACGGAGTTCCTGCCCTTGACACGGGCTTGGCAGGCACCGGGAGGAGGAACGAGCACAAGGGCCTACACGGGAAGGACGGCCGGTGCCCTCTTTGGGGCCCGGTCCCTCCGGGGCTTCCCCACCCTGCCCTCCGTCCAGTCCCGGGAGCTCTGACCGCCTGGGGTCTGCACCCCTGAGGCCGACTGCTAGTACAGGGAAGGGATGAGACAAAGATGGGACAGCAGGCAGGACAAGGTGGGACCTGGAATAGACATTTAGAATCATTTGTAGGAAGAAAAATGGAAAAAACTTTACGGTATAAATTTGACCCATGTGGCTCTTTAGATTTAATGTTTTAATCTCAAACACATACTGTTGTGGAAGGGGTAGAAATCATGTCCATGCACCATCCCCCGGTTCAGCATGACGCACACTCCACTGTTCGGTGTCTACGCCTGCATTTATCTCGCTGGTGTGTTTTAATGCAAATATAAGACATTGTCACATTTTACTCATAAACAGCTCACTGGAAATCTCTAACACCTCCACAGTCACGCCCAACAAAATTAATAGCTACTTCTTCCTATGTTCTAATACCTTGTTCATGTTTACGGTCCCCCAGTTGCCTTAAAAAAGAAAGGGAAGAAGGGTGAGTTTTTACAGTTGGCTTTGATAGATCAGGGTCCTGAAGTCCACACATCACATTTGGGTCACGTATCTCCATTCTCTGTTCATCGCTAACGGTTCTGTCTGCCTTTCTCTCTCTCTCTCTTTTTTAAAATGCCGTTCTTGGAAAACATAGTCATCTGTTGTATAGAGTTTGCTGGAATTGACTGGAATCTGGGACTTCCTTATTCCCTCCTCCTGGTTGCCTTACGTACACCTGCTGCCTCCTTCCCGTGCATTTCTCCTGCCTTTTTCTGTTTGGATTGTATTTGAGGGAAACCAAATGACTGAGGAGGGAAAGTTCTTTAGAAAAGAATCACAGTGACTAAATGAGGGAGAGAGCATTGAATTTGAAAGTCACCTCTTTCAAAGCCTTTGGTGAAAGACCAAATCCAAGCAACGGCCAGTATCACCAGCTACTACTCACTAGGAGGAAGCCCCGGCAGAGACCCGCCAGTGCCCGGGCCTGCCCGGTCCATCCAGCTGGCGACCAGGCAGGCAACCAGTCTGCGGTGGGACACCCCCACGGGACGGCACACAGTGCCGCTCTGAAGTGTTCTGGCCAAAATGGGAAACCTGAACCTAAACAGTCCCTCCTCACACCAGGCAGCTTTCTTCCAAGCTCTGGCTAGTTTATCGATTACATTTGAATCTTTTTTTTTTTTCCTTAAAAAAAGGATCCCCAAGTTTCTAAAAGCCATACGTGCTCATCATTTGCAACTGGCACAAGGAAAGGTGACAGTGAGGAGGCAGGGGCAGAGGGGGCACATGTGGCTGGCTCCCGGGTCAGGTCCCAACTCCTGTGGGGACGTGAAGGTCAACCAGACAGCAGCCACGCCCGTGATGGGATGGTGGTGCCGCCCAGTCACCTGTCTGAAGTGTTGACACCAAGAATGAAGAGATAGATGCGATGAAGAAATGCCAGCTCTGTGTTGAAACTTGCTGGCTGTGTCACCTTTGGGCACCATCCAAAGGCCCTTCTTGTCCAGGTGCTAAAGTATCAGGGTGCAGCCTCTCCCCACTCTTCTCCGGGGTGCCTAATAGAATTCCCAGGCTGGAGGTGACTTGCCTAGGGCACGGGGCTGGCCTAGAACTCTCGCCATAAACCCCAGACATGCCACCCTTTCTGGTTTGTTCCACGGCACTGCTGTTTCCTCCGAGGGTCCTCCTGTTCTGTCCTCTGGGACCTTCACTCTTATATCTTTGAGCCTCCTTTGTGTGTTTTTGCCTTTGCTGGGACCTGCCTGAAACCTGCCCTCATCCCAGGCCCACAGTTCCTCCCCCCACACCGCCCCCCTCCCACCCGCCCCCGTGCCTGTCCTTGTGGAGACCTCATCAACTTCCCAAGCCCCACACCCCACAGAGGTGGCGCCCGAATCCTGCCGGCTTCTCCAGTTTGTCATTGAACACCTTTCTGCTCCACCTCTGCGGGCGACCAGTTCTGCCACTGTATGACCTGTCTCACCTCTGCCTCTGACACCCATGGCTGCTCCCAGAGCAGCCCGACTCCACTCCCTGAAACAGCTGCAGCCTGTCCCCTCTTCTGCCCTGAGGACTCGGGACTCCTCCATCTTCTTCCATCTTCCCTCTCCTCCCCTCCAGCTGAACCCCACTATCATTTCAGTGATGTTCCTGGCAGAAGTTTCAAGCCCCTGCCCTCCCTCACTCCTGCCTGATTAAACCCCAGCCTCCCCTCTCTCGGGCACCACCCGACTGTCGATGGAGAAAGTTCACAAAGCTCCTGGTGTCCTAGCACAGTGGTCTGTCATCTCCCTGGGGGTCTCCATGCTGCGTAGAGACCCTCCCACCTGTCCCCGTCTACCCCAGGCCTGCCATCCACACGGCTATCGGGCACTCACCTGTTATTGCAAGACCCTACTGGCTCACCTCCCTGTTCCTTCCTACGAACTGCCTCACCTCCTACATCCCAGGGCCGACTGGGGCCGCAGCAGCGGTGCATCCTCCTTTTGTATGCGTCCGCGCACGTCAGCAGCTCCCCTGCCCTAGTCTGGGATGGAGAAGGGTCCCTGCCGCCAGAGGTGCCCCGTACCCGTAGTGTGACTCCGAGCCATGGCCTGCCCTCCGCGGGGACTCTGCTCTCTCAGACGAGCCCTTCACCTGTTACCACCTGTTCCTCCTGCTCAGCGCATAAAGCACTGGAGCCTCTTCCATTTTAAGATAATAATGATGGTAGCTGATACAAGGCAACACCCAGGGAGGCCAAGGGAGGCCTCAGCTCAGTCCAGGTCCTTGTCACGGAACGGGAAGGAATTCAAGAGCATGACAGGAAGGTTTGGTGAAGCACCGTGAATTTATTAAAGCGACAGGACGCATTTGAGACATGAGAGCAGGTGACCTCGGAGGACAAGACGTGCCCATGAGCCTGGGTGGAAGGTTTTTATTAAACATGGGCTTCGGACGCTGGTGGGTGACTTCCCAGGTGGCTCAGAGTGTTTTCGATCCTCTGAATTCCAAGAAATTGAGGAGGGGGTGGCAGGGGAACAGGTGCTCAGTGAAGATGGCATCTGTGACGCTCTAGCCAAGACAGGGAGGGGCACAGCACGAAGCCTTTGTTCCCCCCCACCCCCCGCTAGCCTCCCTGCCCCAGTAAGAAGAACACTGTGCTCTGTGCTCTCTGCCCACCGAGCCAGCACCCTCCTTCCCTCCGCAATCAAGTGTCCTAAAAGGCCTGTCCTCCTGATCAGCTCAGCAGTGACACACAGGTGACTTTATGTTTCAAACAAACATGTCTGAACCTAATCCTCCCGTGTTGAAGGCTGGAGTCCCCACAGTCCAGTACTCTGCCCAGGCCGTGTTAAGTCAACAAAGTGGCATGGACGACGAGGAAAGCCGGGCATGGACTTGGTCTAACCGGAATGCTTCTATCTCCCTAAACTGTGTCCCAGCGGGACAGGAGAACATCCTAGAACGTTGAGTGTAGTCACGGATCTGCCCAGAGAGCAGCGAGAACGTGAGTGAAAAAAAAAAGCAGCAGCAGCGTCCATGTAAGAAACATTCAAACCCACAGAGAATTTTTGTGAGTTTGAGCCAAAGCGACGACTGCTGCTAGCAAGCATAATCTCAACGGGCTGAGAGATGGCCTGAGAACGGCAGGCAGTGCCTTGTTTTGCACATTAGGAAGGGCCAGACTGAAGGGGGTCAGGAGAATCCACTGATGATGGGTTAGGGAGGGGAGGGGGCAAGGCGTGGGCGGGGCTCTGGGAGTGGGTAAAAGGTCAAGTGATAGACACCTCCTTCTAGGCAGGTGGAGAAAGGGGAGTCAACAAGCAACAATGAACGTGATAACAACAGTGAGGGGGGGGTCTGTGGTCTCAGTCTGGTGGGGTGAAGGACAGCTACCTGGACGTTGCAAAGGTGTGTTATCATAGACGCAGAAAGAAAATAGGCTCAGTCAAGGTAAAGATGAACCTTCATTAAGGAAAAATACCGGCCTAGGACTGGCCACGAACGCTGATAGTTCCTGAGTTTTCATTTCAGACGGTCCTTTGCGGCTGCTTTAGGGCTCTGAGTTCGTAAGGCTGCCTCGCAGGCTGCCCCTGAGGTGGTCAGGTTAATGTGTGGTCTCTCTCCTTCCACAGAAGAACAGATCAGGGCAAACCTCAGATGTCCTTTGTTTGGTGCCACTTGCACATTGACACACCTTTCCATCAGGTCACCACAGCATCTGCTAGAAGCCCCCTGAGCCCTTCGTCCGGGGTTGGATGACTTGCCCTCGTGAGGCCAAACTCTCCCCCTTGGATTAATTAAATTGGGCGGTTTCTCTGCCTTGGTTTCCACTGCCAGAAGGTCCCAGGACGCCCTTCCCTTACAAATGGAAAACGGATGGCGACTGAGACCCCTGCTCAACCTCAGGCACTTGGGCCAACAGAGAAGAGTAGCAGGAATCAAGATGAGGAGGGGGGAAGTGAAAGGCACGTCTCTCTGGCCCTTCTCCCTGGAGAAGCGTAATTCTCAGGCTACCCCCTAAGCTCCAGACTCGCGCCTGTAGTTCATGGCGGGCCAAGTAGACAAACTGCCAGCGCCACACGTGCTTTGCCAGACTCATCCCGTCAAAACGCAGGACTGAGCTCTGGTCTGGTGGCTCTGCCATTTAAAGCATTATCCCGTGCCCCACTGAAACGTTGCGGGTTCGATCCCCCGCCAGGTGCTCACAGGAGACAACCGATTGATGTTTCTCCCCCCACCCCAAATCAATAAACGTATCCTTGCGCGATCAAAGGAACTGAGGTGGGGGCGGGGAGCTAGCGCCTTACTGTTTGTGTCTTTCAGACAGTGGTCCTGTGGTGAAGGCGCGAGTGCTGACCTGCGTGGAAGGTATGAATCTCGCGCTGTTAGAACAAGCCATCGGAGAGCAGAGGGCGTACCAGCGGGAGAGGGACAGCCGCCCGTAGCAACTGGACGCTTCTGGGGATGCTGCTCCGCCCTGTGCCTGGGAACACCGGAGAGGCCACAGCTGCGGCGGAGAAGACAGAAGACACAGGCACTTACCCCGTGGTGGCCGTTCCCCGGAGCCTGACGCCACTCCCCCAGGAGAGCGCCGGAGGCCGAGCCCCGGGCACTGCGGACTGCGGGCCTCGTGGGAGTCGGGGAGGGTTCCAGAAGGTCCTCGGAATAAAGGCCCAGCGAGACCTCGCCGTGTGCGCACGTGGTGCAGCGCCCGCCGCGGCCGGGAGGGGGAGCCGTGGAGCGGGCGGCCGCGCGCCGGCCCCCCCGCAGCGCGGGGTTTCTGGTGAATTCTCGGCCGGGCCTGAGGGGAGAGGGTCGGCGCGCCGAGTGTCCCGGTGGGGGTCCCGCACACGGGGCGCCCGACGCAGCCGAGGTTCTGCCTTCGGGGGAGGCCGACGCCCTCGCGGCCTGTGGCCGGTCCGTGGCTCCGGAAGCCCCTGCTGACCCTGGACTGGGTGGCGCCGCCGCCCCCCTCGGGCAGCCCCTCTGGGCAGCTGTGGGCCCCGAGCCCGGCTGGAGCGCAGAGGCGGGCTGAGCCCGAGAAGTTGGGGCTCTTCTGCATCCCGTAGGGACCTTGCAGCCGCGGGCTGTCCGGCTGCAGGCGGGGGGCCCGGGGGCGGGGCCTGGGGGCTGCGCAGGGCGGGGCGGGGCCGGAGCGCCGTCTGTTTCCCGGCGGCGCGGCGGACATGGACGTGTTCCAGAAGGTGGAGAAGATCGGAGAGGGCACCTACGGGGTGGTGTATAAGGCCAAGAACAAGGAGACGGGGCAGCTCGTGGCCCTGAAGAAGATCCGGCTGGATCTGTGAGTGCGGGCCGGCCCCTGGGACACCCCGGCCACCCGGCCACCTCTCTTCTCAGGGTTTCCCATGCAGCTCGTTTACCGAACTCTGCCCAGTTACACCCGGGTGGCCACAGAGGTGCGGCCTTCGCGGGTCCTCACGCCTCCCAGGCTCTGCCCGGGGCCCCGGTGGGGATGAGTGTGGTCTGAGGGGCCCGGCGCCGAGGGATGGGCCATCCTGAGGGAACACGGAGCACGGGCGGCTCCCCCCCCCCCCCCCCCCCCCCGGGCAGAAGCACCCTTCTTGGCTTCCTGCCTCCACTGCTGTACCCTCCCTTCCCGCAGGGAGACGGAGGGGGTCCCGAGCACCGCCATCAGGGAGATCTCCCTGCTCAAAGAGCTTAAGCACCCCAACATCGTCAGGTGAGGTGGGGAGGGAGGCGGGAAGCCAGGCCTGTCCCAGGTCCCCTGGGAGCTGCATCCTGACCACTGTCCCCGGCCAGGCTGCTGGACGTGGTGCACAACGAGAAGAAGCTGTATCTGGTCTTTGAGTTCCTCAGCCAGGACCTGAAGAAGTTCATGGACTCCACCTCCGTCTCTGAGCTCCCCCTGCACTTGGTCAAGGTACCGAGGGGAGCACAGGGAGGATGCCCTGCGGGCCGGCCCGTCCTCCCACTGCTCAGCCAGCCCCTCTCTCCCTGGTTGTTGCAGAGTTACCTCTTCCAGCTGCTGCAGGGGGTGAGCTTCTGCCACTCGCACCGGGTCATCCACCGGGACCTGAAGCCCCAGAATCTGCTCATCAATGAGCTGGGCGCTATCAAACTAGCAGACTTCGGACTGGCCCGAGCCTTCGGGGTGCCACTACGCACCTACACCCACGAGGTGCCATGGGACAGAGAGGAGAGAAGGGCAGATGAAGTGAAGTCACCTGTGTCCTCAGCTACCCTGAGTGATGCTGTTTCCTCATCCCCCACAGGTGGTGACACTCTGGTATCGTGCTCCCGAGATCCTCTTGGGCAGCAAGTTCTATTCAACAGCTGTCGACATCTGGAGCATCGGCTGCATCTTTGCAGAGATGGTAGATAGAGGGACACACACGGCCCCAGGGAGGGTCCTGCTGAGGTGGGGCAGGGGGCTGTGATTCACCTGTTAGAGGGGAATTAAGGGGCTGGCCGAAGGACTGAGGAATTGGGCCTGAGTCCCGGAAGACCAGGGTTCTTAGCACAGCCCTGGGACGGGTCTCGAAGGTGCCTCCCTGGTCTGTCCTCTTATATGGAATTGGATTCCCAGTGATGATGGAGGGGTCCCCACACCTCTTCCCCACTCCAGATGACCTGCAAAGCTCTGTTTCCTGGTGACTCTGAGATTGACCAGCTCTTTCGCATCTTTCGGACCCTGGGGACCCCCAGTGAAGCCATGTGGCCGGGAGTCACCCAGCTGCCCGACTATAAGGGAAGCTTTCCCAAGTGGACCAAGAAGGGGCTGGAGGACATTGTGCCCAATCTGGATCCAGAGGGCAAGGACCTGCTCACGGTAGGTTCAGGCAGGCGGCCGGCCAGGGCAAGAAGGGCCGCCTGGCTCCCGCTGCTGCTCCCACCAGGAGCGTCCCTTTTGTTAGCCAGTGTCTTCTGTAACCCTGGCTCCTTCTGGGTCCAAGCTGGTCTCTTCTTTGACCGCTGTGCACAGCCGGCTCATTCCTGTCCCTGCGCCTACTGGTGGTTCTGCCTGGAGACCTCGCCCGACATAAGTCCCGAGTTCACCCTCCCTGTTAAACCTTCTCTGTTCCAGTTAGCCCTGTGCTGTGACTCTTGCCCTTTTTTCCTAAGTTGCTGTGTGTTTTGGGTAATTTTCTCTGCTGTCATTATTACCCTGTCTAAACTGTAAGCTTTTCCAGGCAAGGACAACTGCTCCTGCGTCAGTATTTCCCCACAGCGCCTTCCACAGTGGTCGCTGTCACAAGAGGCCAGTCCTGGGCCACAGTCCTTGCTCACTCCTGTTGCCCCACCTTGATCCCTTGGGCTGGCTCAGACCAGGCTGCCCCCAAAGACTCGGAGGCACGTTTCTCCCTTTAATTTGGTATTGGTCAGAGGTTGGCTGGGCAGTGCCTTCGTCTTCAGGCTGTGGGCCCTCCTTTTCAGCCCCCTGTGTGTGTTTGCCAGCCCAGTGAGCAGGGCAGCACAGATTCCCAAGCAAGGCTTCCAGGACTCTGCCCTGGCCAGTTGGAGGTGGGGGGGTCTCTCCACAGCCTGGCTGGGACCCCGCCTACAAGTGTGCTGCCCGGCAGGTTTGGCCCCTACACAGAGAAAAGTCTGTCTCAACTCAAGGTTGGCCCGGGCCTGAAACCTCAGTGAGGAAGGGAGCGACTGACTTGGCCTTGGGAGCCTGCAGCAGACCCAGTGACTCAGCAGGGCTGGGCCAGAGCTAAGTCCTAGTCTCCACGTCCCAGGAGTGTCCAGAACTGGCTCCTGGGCTGGGAGGCGGTGGCTTTGTGCAATTCTGGGCCTGAAGCCAACACTCTGGGGCTCGGGGCCTCCAGACGGGATTCACCTGGGAAGGTAATTCCTCTCCCTGCTCTGGCCACACCCAGGCTCAATCTCTTTCCTCTCCCTCCTTCCTTCACAGCAACTGCTGCAGTACGACCCCAGCCAGCGGATCTCAGCCAAGGGTGCCCTTGCGCATCCGTACTTCTTGTCCACCAAGACCCCCCCGGCCCCCCACCAGTGTGTGCTGGAGCGTTTTTGCCGCTGAGAGCGTGTGAGGCCACCACCCTCGAGCCTCCCCCCAGCTGCTTCCCTAGCCGCCTCCTCACCAGCTTTCCAAGAAAGAAAACACATCTGGGGAGAGCGCAGAGCTCTAAGGAATTTGGCATCAGCCACCAGGGAGCTGAGTTTGGGTTAGTCCTGTTGACAAGTTAGCAAGTTCCTGTGTTGTTCGTTGGGTTCGATGGTGCCGTTTCAAGATGGGGGTACAGAAGCTCTGTGTATGAAGGGTATGTTGGAGGCGGTGTCTCCTGGCACTGGGGCAACAGGTCTCGGAGAGCAGAACACTGCCCAGCAGAGCCCGACTCTGTGGGAAAGGGTGCCCCCTGCTGGTCTCTTTGGGTTTAAAATGTTTTGGAGAAAAGTTGATTCTCAGAGTTAAAAGAGGGAGAGGAGACGTTTTCCTGTTTCCAGGAGAGGTGGGGTGTTTGTAGCTGTTCTAAGTAGCTGTCACCTAGGATATGCTCACATTTGCTTGTCTCTGGCTTTATGAACAGGAAATAAAAGTGATACATTGAGTTTTCCTGTGGTGTTCTGTCAGGGGCACGCCAGGGACTCGCCATCCTTGATCTCCTTCCATGACCCGCCAGCATATCCCTCCTGGACTCAAAGGGCCTCACCCTCAGAGAGCCCCCGTCTCCCACGAGGCCCAGTGGGCATGCTCACTCCCCACCCGGGAAGTGGTGTCCCTGGTGCTCGTGCCCCAGACAAATTCACTGTACCTCAGCCATCCCCAAGGGATGGAGTTGGGGGGGCGGGGACAGGAGGTGAGCTCAGGTGCCGTTCTTTGCTTGGTGGCTTGCTCCTCCTCTCTGTTCCCCTCCTGCTGTGGGGCTGGGGACCCCTGCTCTACACCCCCAACTGTGAACGAGATGTGAGAGAATGCATTTATTGAAGTACTGGGTTGGGGAGGAACAGATCTGCTGGTCTCTGGGTCTGGGGACAGATTGGACTCCAAAGTTAGGGGAGGGACCCAACACCATGAATGCTGAGTGACAGAACAGGGATCAGACAGCAGAAGACCTACACCCCGGGTTAGGCTGCTCTGGGCCGAGGGGTGCGTGCATCCTACCCCCGCCCCTTACGTAGACTCCTGAAACTCAGCCCCATCAGCGCAGTGCATGGGGTACGGAGGGGGAGGCTGAGCGGAAGCAGCGGTACCCCTCCAGTGCAGCTGGGAGGAGCAGCAGGCCGCTCAGGGGGTCTTTCCGGCAGCGTCCCATGGCCTCCTTGTAGCTCAGCCGCTCCTTGGAGATGGGGTCTGTCAGATCCTTCTCGTAGCTGGACTCATCCTGCAGGAGCTGGGCCAGCTCTTCACTGATCATTCCCGAGAGCACGGCCTGCGGGATTGGGATGCGGCCTGTCCTCTTGGGGTCGATGAGACCCCCGGTCAGGTGCTGCACCAGCAGGTGCGGGAGCACGCTCTCCCGGGGCATCCAGCCCTTCTGGATGGCCTCGCCCACCGACAGCCTCTTCTTGGTGATGGGATCCTCGATGCCGGTGAAGGCCTTCTGGGCGTTGAGCAGCCTCTGCGTCGAGGTGTTCTCGATCAGCCCCCTCTCCATGGCCTTGTGCACGGAATAGCGCTCCCGGCTGAGGAGGTCCACGATGCCGCCCGTGGCCGCCTGGGCCTCCAGCAGCTTCTGCCCAGTGATGGGGTCCAGCATGTTCTTGGCCATGGCCGTCTTGATGGTGCACTTGTTGTCTGTGGTTGTGTCGTAGATGCCAGCAATGGGGAAGCTGTCATCGCCCAGCCCGAGAGGGAAGCCAGGAGAGAAGAAACAGGTGCTCTGGGGGGCCAGGGAGACGACCGGGGACTTGGAGATGATGGAGCCGATGGAGAGTGAGGAGCAGGGCTTGGTCTCCCCGGCCACGAGCAGGGCGAACTCAGAGATGGGCAGGTGGCCATCCTTGTAGAGATGGTACTCCTCCTTGGAGATGCGCCGACAGCTCAGGGCGGCCTCGATGGAGTACTGCTTCCCGCTCTTGCGGTCCAGGAGCACCGACTCCTCCCCACAGGGGCCTGAGGTGGTGACCTCCTCCCAGTCACACTCGAGCTCCTGCAGCTGGAGGTACTGGGCTCGATCGATGATGCCCCTCTTGTAGGCCTCATACGGGGACATGTCCTTCCCTGTGTCGGGTTCCAAGATGGAGATCTTGGTGGAAAGGTTGGTCTCCCGCGTCTGGGTCTCCTGGTTGAGCTCCTCCCGGCTCACTTTGGTGTGCAGATCCCGGAGTGTCCTCTCCTTCTTGTAGATCTGGTCCTTTTCTTGGAGGATGGCCACCTTGAGCTGCGAGAGCTCCTGGCCCTGCTGGGTGGCCTTGTGCCGCTCGCTCTCCGTCTTCTGGCTGAGCAGCTTCACCTCCTCCTGCAGCTGCAGCACCTTCTGCTGCTTCTGCCTCTCCAGCTCCCGCAGCTCCTGCTGCAGCTGCCTACACTCCTGGCTCGCCTGGTTCCGGGCCTTCTGGAGCTCAGCCTCCTCCCGGGTCCAGGTTCTGCTCAGCGCTTCGGCCCTGTCGATCCGCTCCCGGAGGCGCTGTACCTCCTCCTCGCGGCCCTTGCGGCCGGCTCGCTCCCTGCTGAGCATCTCCCATACCCGGGACCGCTCACCCTCCAGCACTCGGTCCTTTTCCACCCTGATCACTTCCTTGTAGATGGTCTTCTCTTGTGATTTGGTTTTCTGGAGGATGTCGATCTGTACCTGCAGGTTCTTGCACTCCCGATGCAACTCCGTCACCCGGGTCTTCTCCTGGTCCAGGTCCTGCCGCAGGGCTTCTGTGGACTTCTCCAGCTCCGGGTCCTTCTCTGTCTTGACCACCTCCTCCATGATGATCTTCTCCTGCACCGCAGGGGGCCGCTTCTCGAGCTCCTGGATGCGCAAGGTCAGCCGCCGCAGCTCCTTCTCCACAGCCAGCTTCTTGTCACGGTCCTCCTGGAAGCTGAGCAGACCCTCCTTCTCCTCCACGCTGGCCAGCAGCTGTTGCACCTCCCGCTCCAGCTGCCGCCGCTGGCCCACCTCCTCATCCAGGCTCCGGCTCAGCCGCCCATGCTCCTCGTGGAGCTTTGGGTCCTTCTGGGTGACCACCACCTCCTTCACCACCACCTTCTCCTCAGGCCGCCTCCTCTCCAGCAGCAGGTACTTGTTCTGCAGCTCGTAGACCTCGTCCTCGGTGGCCCGCCGCTTCTGGGTCACCTCCCGCACCTCCTGGCGGAGCCTCTCGGCCTCCTTCTCCAGGACTGGGTCCTTCTCGTGGCGCACCACCTCCTTGCTCACCGTCTTGGTCTCCACCTTGGACCGCTCTCGCTTCCATTCGTCGCGCTCCCCCTGCAGCCGGATGTGCTGCTCCTGGGCCCGCCCGCTGGTGTTGACCAGCTCGTTGAGCTGAGCCTTCAGGCGGTCGATTTCCCGCAGCACCTCCGGGTTCCTCTCGTGCTTGACCACCTCCTGTGTCACCTCCTTGTACTGCACCATGGGCTTCTGGGCCCGCAAGGCCGCCAGGTCAGGCAGCAGCCTCTCCACCTCCTTCTCCGTGCTGCTTCTCTTGCTGGCTGTCTTCTGCAGCTCAGCCCTGAGCCGTGCAATCTCCCGCTCCGTCTCTGGGTCCACCTGGAAGGTCTCGTGGACACGCTCCTGCAGCTCCACTTTGGGCTTCTGCTTCTCCACTATGCTGTACTTGTCCTGCAGCTCCTTCAGCTCCTTGGCCAGCATCGCGTTCTTACTCCTCTCCCCTTCCAGGAGGCTCCGTAGCCTGGATGCCTCCTGGATGAGGCCTGGGTCCTGCTCTACCTTCTTCTCCTCCTTCACGATCACCTTGGGCTGCACGGTGCTGATTTCCCGCTCCAGGCCTTCGATGCGGGCCTGCAGCCTGGCCACAGCTTCATCTGCCCTCTTCCTCTGCATCGTATCTTCCTCAATCTGCAGCCTCAGGGCCCGGGCTGCCTTGACCATTTCCAGGTCCTTCTCCACCTTGACCACCTCCTTCACCACGACCTTCTCCTTCACGTTCGCCTCCTTTTGCTCAAGGGCCAGCAGCTCCTTCTTCAGCTGCTCCAGTCGGGCGGTGACGGCGTTGTTCTCCCCCCGGAGGTGCTGGAGCTCGCTGCTGAGCCGGGCCGCTTGGCTGTCCAGGCCGGGGTCCTTCTCTATCTGGGTCACCTCCTTGGTCAGCAGATGAGGCTGCATGGCCTTCCTCTTGCTCTCCAGCTGGACAACCTTCTGGGCTGCTATCTCCAGGTCTGCCTGCAGGCTGGCCCGCTTTTTGCCCTCATCCTCCACCTGGGACTTCACCCTGGACAGGTTGCTCTCCAGCTGGGGGTCCCAATAAAACTCCACCACTTCCTTCTCCTCCAGCCTCTCCAAGGGCCGCTGGGTCCTCAGCCGCAGCAGCTGGTTCCTCTGCTCCTCCAGCTCACGCTGCACCTGGGCCACCCGTTTTCTCTCCTCCTCCAGCTGGGACTTCAGGGCTTCTGACTCCCTTCCTGCTTGGGCTGGACTCTCAGACCCTTGCTGTGCACCGTGGGTCACCCGGACGTCCTCACTGAGCTCCTTCTGCAGAGTGAGAGGGAGAAGGGGAGAGTACTGGGGGGGAGAGGAAGCAAATGAGCCCCATTCCTCCTCTCACTTGAGATCACACACCCCTCCCTGCTTCCCGAGACATCCCTCCCTGTAGGTCCTGGGAGGTGGAGCTGAAGACCTGAGATGCTGGGGTGCAGGATTTTGAGAGGTCCCATTAGTCACATGATGTTAGGATGCAAGACAGGGCTCAGGCCGAGTTTGCACAGAAACATGCAAATAGGCCAGGTGTTGTCTTCCAACCTTCCCCTTCCACTCGGCTCCCCAAAATGGGCCCACACCCCTCTAAGGGATGCTGGAGTATTCCTTGGGCAGGAAAAGATGGCAAGTACCTTGGCCAGACACCAAGAGTTATAGAGAACCTCTGGCTCCCAGTCTCCCAGGGAGGATGACCCCTGGGTCTTAAGGCTGAAGACTCTGAGGGGATTTTCTCCTGTCCCCAGCAGGGGACTGCCCAGTGGCTAAGCTGTGGACTCCCTGAGTGTCGTGTCCAGGTTCTTATTCTGGGATGGAGACCAGCCTCTGAGAGCTGCTGGGGAGAGAGAGCAGGGGGAGGCAGAACCCGGGGACTGCGGGTGGTGGGGTGAGGGGAAGAAAGACGGCCAGCTCAACCACGAGGCTGGCTGCCTTGTGTGGGAACAGAGTGGGCATCCCCCCATACCTTCTCCAGCATCTTTCTGGCAAACTCCAGCTGGTGCAGCTGCTGTTGGTGCACAGCTACAGCCTTGGTGTAGGCTTCGGTCAGCTGTTTCTCCTGGAGAGGTCAAAGGGAGGGCGCAGGACGGTCAGCTCCCACCTTAGAGGCAACAGAGCCGGCACCCCGCTGGGTCCCATCTCACCTGGGCCTGGATGCTCTCCTGCAGGGGAGCCACTCGGGGTCTCTTGGGGGCTGACCCTGCCTGGGTGGGCTCCAGGGAGCAGCGGTAAGTGTCTGCCTGCAACTC